GTGTGTGTGTGTGTGTGTGTGTGTGTGTGTGCGGGTGTCCGCATGATGTGTGTATTGACGTGCTGTAGCAAGAGTTCAGGGAGGCAGCTGAGCAAAATAATTTAGAATGTCCTGCCTGCTGACACAAGGACAAAGGCACACACTGAACATGCCCATGTGAGGAAGGAGACAATGGACGTGGGCTACACCTGGAAATGCACTGCTGTTGTTTTCCCCATGACCTTCACAGCACAGAAAAAAAGAGAATTCACAGGCTGTTCCTCTACGAGCTTGGACACTCATTATTGGTCAAGTCAGTGGAGTGTTAACGGGGTGTTGATAAAGTAAAAATAATAATTTGATGAATACGTCATGGCCACTCACTCTTTGTCATTTTGGTAAATTTCTCTTTATTCTTTGCTATTAGTGACGAAATAATACTAGTGAATGCTGCTGAAGTGTAATTTGAATCTTGTGAAGTGGGGTTTTGTGGAAAGCTTATGATCAATAAATAATTTAACTGTTGCGGACAGCTGTTTGAACACCCTTTTTTTTTATCAGATCAGGGCTATTCAACTGCTGGCCCACCAATGACCCCCACCCCAAAAACCATATTAAAAAAAGCTTTATTTAATTGAATATAAAAATGTATTTTAAATCAATGGTAACTTTTTAATTAATGCAGCAACAACAAAAATAATGCACACCATAAAACATAGCAATTCTTGTATTTTTACACAATGCAGCATTTCCCCTATCATTATCAGATATGATATTTTTGTCGGAAGTGTTTCACACTGCAGTGGAAGTGCTACAGCTAACTGTTGCTGCCATTTCTGCTTGTGTAATAACACAAAATAAACGATTTTGTATTGCAAAAATGATGAAATAACGTTTTTAAAGACACAATTATTTTAAAAATGCAATAATTCACTTTGGACGCCTTGTGGACTAGCCTTCAGTCAGAAGTAAACCTCATTTCTACAAACTGAGGCATTTCAAACAACTATCCACAACAAGTAAGACATTAATTGCGCATAACCTTACCCCAGTTAAAAAAGATCTATGTGTCATTTTTCAGGAGCGGATTGGTCGCCGCTCCAAGTCTCTAAAGAGTCCAGGCAGTTCGAATTAACATGGTGCAGTCAAGGGAGCGCTGAAGGCTGAATCAATGCATCACTCCCAGGGCCTCGTGCATGGAGATGAGAAGGCATAATGCAAGGTTTGRTGCCAAACCTCACATCATGTGTCTAACCAGGGTCTTTCGGCACTCCCTGAAGAGAAACAAGCTCCGTTTTTCAAGGAGAACAGATAATAGCGAGAAGCTGATTAATACTTTGGAAATGATGAACAAACATGAGTTATAAAAGGAAGAATATCACCTTTGCTTTCAGAGTCAAAAGCTTGCTTACAGTTTTATTACTAATAACTGTGTAAGCC